TCTGAATCTGGTGGCCTTTCTTCCTCACTTCCTCTCTCTCACTCTCACCCTCTGTCTCTCTCTGATCAAACTAAAAAATAAATGAATGAATAAATAAAATAAATAATTTTTTTAAAAAAAGGGACCAGCAGTTGAACTCCCAGGTAATCGACCACGGTTCAAGTCCCAGACCCAGTGGGTTAAACTCACGCCGGGCGCGTGTGCGTGCATGCCCAAGATCCCGAGAGGAGAATGGAGGAGAAGGGATTGCAGCGTGGCCATCCCCCCGGGGGGTGATTTCTAACTTTCTATCTCTGTCTCTCTCTTTCTGCCAAGTGCACACGCCCTATAGCAAAAACCTCTCCAAAAATATTGAAAAGCACCACACAAGGGGGGCATAAGGGTCACGTGGCTGGACTCCCACATGACCTGGCGGCTTCCAACTCATGCTGAGCAGAAGTACGTGCGTGCCCAAGATCCCAAGGCAAGAATGAAAGAGAAGGGATTGCGTGTAGCCATCCTCCTGGGGGGTGATTTCTCGCTTTCTGTTTCTCTGTTTCTCTCTCTTTCTCTGTCTCTCTGGTGAACCCACGCACCCTACTGCAAAAAAAAATTCTCTAAAAAAAAATAAAACCAAAACACTGCACAAAGGGGCCAATGAGCAGTATGAGGTTGAGGTTGCTCTCGCATCACCGACAGTGGTTCAGGTCCCAGACCTGGTGGCTTGCTTTCTTGCTTTCTCTCTCTCTAGTGAGTGAGTGAATAAATAAATAAATAAAATAGGTACTTATTTTTTAACAAAACTACCCACACACAGGGATCATCAGGTGGCGTGATGGTTAAGGCATTGGGCTCTCACATAGCTAATTGCGGTTCGAGCCCCAGACCCAGTAACTTGATAATCACACCAGGCAGGTGTGCATGCATGCCCAAAATCCGAAAGGAGAACGGGGAGGAGAAGGGATTGTGGCATGGCTATCCCTTCTGAGGGTGATTTCTCTCTCTTTTTGTCTCACTGTCTGTCTCTGGTGGGCATGCACACCCTATAGCAAAAAAACAAAACCAAAAACAAAAACCACATACACACAAACAAATCTTAAAACACACATGACAGTGACAATAACGAAAAAGGATGAGCAGTCAGTCTTGGTATTGGGATTAGAATGGACTTTCTTTTTTTCTTTTTTTTTTTGGAGAGGTTTTTGCGATAGGGCACGTGCACTCGCCAGACAGACAGAGAGAGACAGAGAGACAGAAAGTGAGACATCATCCCCCAGGGGGGATGACCACGCCGCAATCCCTTCTCCTCCATTCTCTCGGGATCTTGGGCACGCACGCACACGTGCTTGGCGTGAGGTTTAAGCCTCTGGATCCAGGATTCGAACCACAGTTGAGTACGAGGGAGTCCAGCGACGTAACCATGATACCATCTGCTGGTCCCTAGAATGGGCTTTCTAATATTGCAAACATCAGAATGAAAAAAACTGCAAGGATTTCCAGAACTTTCCTCAGGAACAAGGAACAAGCCAATGAAATTCAGGGCCCAGATAATGATACAAGGTAACACTCCGCAAGGCTGACTCCCATCGGAAAGTTGTGGGTTTGCCTGTTTGCCTGGGTATACTGGCTATGGGCATGCCCCTGAAACAGGCCGACTGAAGGCTGGAGATGGATCCTGTTTCGGGACACTGCTGGGGATGCTCTTTGTCTCCCTGAATCTCTCTCTTTTTCTCTCAGTCTCTCTCTCTTTTTTTTTTTTGGAGAGGTTTTCACTATAGGGCGCGTGCGCTCGCCAGACAGACAGAGACAGAGAGACAGAAAGCGAGAAATCACCCCCAGGGGGGATGGTCACGCCACAATCCCTTCTCCTCCATTCTCCTCTCGGGATCTTGGGCACGCACGCACACGCGCCCGGCGTGAGTTTTAAGCCACCGGGTCCGGGATGCGAACCACGGTCGACTACGTGGGAGTCCAGCGACATAACCATTACGCTAACTGCTGGTTCCCTCTTGGTCTCTCTTGAAGAGAGAAATAAACAAACAAAAATTGGAGCTCAGAGCTGACCTGATAATATAGTGGTTAAGGGAACTGGATTCCACGTGGCCAACTGTAGTTCAAATCCCAGCCCCAGCAGTTGGAAAACATGCCAGGTGCATGTATGTGCATGCCCAAATATTGTCAGGATGGAGAAATGAGGTGAAGGGATTACAGAGTGACTATGCTTCATTGTGTGTGTGTGCGGGGGGGAGTGCTATCTCCCTCTCTCTCTCTCTCTGTCTCTGCCTCTCGGTCTCTTTTTTGGCAAGCCCATGTGCCTTCCGGCAGTGAAGAAAAACAAACACACCTGAGTTCATTTCAAAGCGGGGCAGAGTGAAGCTGTTTTCTGTTGAAGTCACAAGGGGCCCGGCTCATCAACAAGGCATTGGCACATTTGTTCAAAAACTATTTATGGAGCGTCTCTGTGCGAGGCATAGCTTTAACCCCTCGAGGACAGAGAGCTTGACAGTTGTCTTGGTTCATTCTGGTGACTAGAACAAAAATAGCATAGCTAGACTAGCAGGTGGCGTGGTGGTTAAGGCACTGGATTCCCACATTGTTGACTGCAGTTCGAGACTCAGACCTGGCAGCTTGCTTCCTCCCTTTTCCTCTCTCTGGTGAGCACAGGTGCCTTATAGCAAATTAATAATAATAATAATAAATTGGGACTCCCACATAGTTGACTGCAGTTTGAATCCCGGACCTAGCAGCTTAAACCTCATGCCGCATGCATGTGCATGCCTGCCCAAAATCTTAAGAGGAGAATGGAGGAGAAGGGATTGCAGCCTGGTCATCTCCCCTGGGGGATGATTTCTCACTTTCTGTTTCTTTCTTTCTTTTTTTTTTTTTTGGAGAGGTTTTTGCT